CGTTATACAGTTATTTGATCCTTGCTAACGAGGGGGGGGGGGAAATGGCGACTGGAAAACAAGAGATCAGTGAGACCTGCCTGGTGGCTTGGGTGCGCAACAGAGTGACTAGATGACAGGAAACCCATTTTGGAAGTGGCTCAGACCATCAGGTATCAAAGAAACACGTGCACTTTAAATCTACAAGGGAACAGCAAGGGCAACGGATCAAATTGCCCGTGTGAACGTGACCTTCCAGTAACAAGCTATCGAAGGGGCGAAAACGTAAGGTTATCCAAAAGAAAACAAAAACCCACAAGGGCCACGGCGATGTAAACTGTGACTTTTATTGTAAGTTTCTTCCAACGGTACCACGAAAGGCACGCCACAGGCTTTCTGGGTTGACGACACAAAACCGGTCCTTTACTTTACGGCACCCGCTCGCTCTCACGCGCGCAACAAAACACCGTCCTGACAGGAAGAGCCTTTCACGGAAAGGATTTTTTAAAGTTCGTGTGTGCCGTGGCGACGTTCGTCGGCGGAAGACGGGCTGGCGGCGCGACGGAAAGCCCGCGGCGCCCCAGACCTGCTCGAGAATTCCAAGAAACAAAAACGGAAAGAAGGCGAACGCCCTTCCCCCAAAGAAAAAAGCTTAGTTATCATACTGCTTTCCTGTACGAGGCCCATGTATAAAGGGCGTGCTTCATTGACGTCCTTGTAACGTCGCACGCACCTGGCCTCGATTACCTGTGGGTGACCAATGGGGGGCACAGCCGATCCGTCCCCACTGCGGTATGTTACGGACAGGGTGGCAAATGGAAAATGCCTCTTTCACAGACAAATGCACCTCTGGTGTGACAAAGACTATCAGTGGCGAGCGGCGGATGGCACTCCTTTCATTAAAGCCGGGGAGATTCCAGTGGCTGCGCAGATTTTGAAAAACAATGCTTTGGTGGCGACGGCCACCACCGCGCAAAGATCTTCACTGTGTGATTGAAAGAAAACCGTGGCAGCCATTTTCGCGGCTGGCTCCGCCTGCTGCAGCAGCCATTTTGAAGAAGAGGAGACTGGCTTTATACCCCGCCCTTCACTCGAGAGTCTCAGAGCGGCTTACGGTCTCCTCCCCCTCCCCACAACGGACACCCTGTGAGGTCGGTGGGGCTGAGAGAGCTCTGAGAGAACTGCTCTTGAGAGAACAGCTCCGAGGGAACTTGTGACTGACCCAGGGTCACACCAGCAGCTGCATGGGGAGGGGTGGGGAATCGAATCCGGTTCTCCCGGATTAGAGTCCGCGCCCCCAACCACGACAACGAACAGGCTCTCTTTTGCGGCTGGATTCGCCCCTTGCGGCAGCCATTTTGTAGCTGCACCCACCACACCGTGTGAGAATTCCAGGGGTGCCCGCAGGGTCGGAAAGGTTGGGGACCCCTGTATTAAAGGATCCCAAATGCCAAGGGGCCGCTAGGGCAGTTCTCGGGGCTGCCGCCTGTTGAGGAAAGACGACACCCTCTTCAATCTGAAACAAGCCTTCAGGTGCAATAACTCTCCAGTAATCCTAGGCCCCAGAGTAACACTGATCGACCCATTTCGATACCGAAAGAGGGGGGGGGGGGAAATGAAGCACGGATAAGCTCAGGCCTTCTTTATAAAAATACCCTTGCGCTTTCAGCTTTATAAAATAATATATATTTTAAGAAAGTCTCCAGTTAGAAAAGCCGGCCTATCAAAATATGGCGACGTTATGGCTGTAGATACAAAAAACCCCTCAAAAAATATTTTTTTCCTGGTTATTTTTTTTTTAAAGGCATTGTGCTGTGAATTGTGGTTAGTTTGTTTTTCTGTAAATGCTTCCCAGTCCGTGGGACGGCTGTCGTACTGCCGTAGTGATTCCTTCGGGGAGACAATCCCGACCCTTTTGCGAAACCAAACGAGGCTGCTGTCCTTTGAGCGGGAAACTCTAGAACAGCTGCCCGAAAAACGGTGCGACCGTCATAGGGGAAAGGATGCATCCGCCAACGGCCGGCTTCCTGTGCCATCTTGCGCTTGGCACGGGAGGTCAGATGTCGGGGATAGCAGCTGGCGGGTAAGGAGGGAGGGGGGCTGCTCTGAGCAAATTCTACGGTAGCATAACGGTTGTGCTCCTATATTCACAAAGCAGACAGTTACAGCTGGCGACCACTTTCTGCAGTACCTGGATCAGGCCCAGTCGAGAGGGGCACGCTAGCAAAGCGAGGACACTTTCCCCTGCTCCCCGGTAGGGATTTGCGCTTGAGGGAATCGTGCCGGATAGCAGCCCGAGTTTTAACAAAATGCCATGCAAATACCAAAGTCCCATGGGGGGGTGGGTTTGTTTGTGTTTTCTTTTTTTTGCCTTTCCAGCATGCCCCGTTAAAATCGGGCTCGATCCCTTTCGTTTATAGGGGGCTATAAATAAATACCTTTTGTGATACAAGCGGGTCAGGAGTGGACTCGTGCTGCATGCGCGCATTTACAACAAGGCTGGTTAAAATATTTCTGCGTGCATCCTGTTTAAAGAAAATATTACGAGCGAAGATGCCCTGAAGCCCAGCTTGCGGGGCAGTGGGGGGTGGGGGGGTGGGTCAGGGTCCACAGCCCTTTGGCACACCCCTGTCCCCTGAGGCAGAAAGCGTTGAACTAGTATGCTGCCTGTCCCAGAAAGGAAGCTTAAGCAACATGTGGAAACATTCTGGTCACAGCGTTCCTGGCAATTCCCCCCTCTTAAAGCTACCTACGAGGCGGCAAATAACCCGCTTCTTTTCTCTGCTAAGCGGGACCCTAAATGTCCCTTAGGGCTCCAGTGTGGTGGCTGTTTCCCCACAGCTCAGGAACCACGTCCCGTGGACGAATACGGTGAGACCGCTGCTCCCTTCCTACGACAGACTGCACCGGGAAGGGGGGGCTCGTACCAATTCCTACTCTCCTTCCCTGCAACTCGAAGATTTCCCGGATGGGGAGGGGGCGGCATGCGCCGGGAACTATGGCGAAGTCACAGGCCCTCCAAAAACGGGGAAGCACCCTTAAGGCCGCCCAAGGTTGGTAGCCAAAGGGAACTGAAAAACAGGACCGCGGTTTGGAAAAAACCATACTGCTTTCCCGTTTTCCACTGGCTTCCAAGGGAATTTCGGGCCAGTGAGAAATTTCTCAGGATGCGAGGAAGCTCTGGTTTAGGACGAAAGAAAACACAATATACAATAGAAAGACAGACAGGCAACTTACAAGTCAAGAGAGTGCCCCCCACCCCCGTTCTCAATGGCAGAAAAAGACTTTCTTTCAGCTTGCGTAAAGTTAGTGCTTATAGGATTGTCTATATATGTATCATGAAAGAAAGAAGGCAAAATTAGCTCTTTAAAAAAAGGCATTAACAACAGAAAAGGCAAAAATTAAACAAAAAGTGGGGCGGGCCAATACGTTCCAACCATACATAAACATAAAACATATACTTCTCTCTATAGACTTATATATGTATTTCTCTTCTTTTTTATATAATCTCTCTGTCTCTCACTCTCTGTAACTTAAGGTACTTTGGTCAGCAAATCTTATTGCTACATCTTTAAAGGTCATTCGGTTTCTTTTTCTAAGAAGCTTCCAGAAGCTCTCCAAATCCCTCTCTCTCTCATTTTTTGAAACACCCACTTTCCTGTAAACTTTACACAAAACAATCCGACGGAGAAGGATCCACTCGGATCATGGCCCGCGTCCGGTTTGTTTTTTGGCAGAACAGACAACGCAAGATGGGCTGATTGTAGTGCAACCTTTGGCTGTCACCGACCACCGTAGAGCGTCCTTTCGTTCGGTTCTTGCCCACTCCGTCGTCCCGATGTTGTCCCTTTGGGATGTGCGGAGTTTCTTTGGCTTGACGCAACACAGAAGAGGGGACCCCCCTCCCCCAAACAATCGGGACATTGTTACTTTTACTGTCCCCGCCACGATGGCCGAAATCAAAGCGCGAAAACAAACGAAAACCCTCGCGTGGCGATGCAAGTCGCGAGAACATCCGAAGTGCTGAAAAACGTCGAGGGCTTCCACGAGGTGGAAAGGGAAAACTGAAAACGTTACCCACGTTCTACGCCTTTTGGTCAGAAAACCCGAGGGAACGGTGAACGAGTTGCATTCAAAGGAAGAGACCCTTTCCTTCTAAATCCAACCAATTTAAACCCGGGTCAAATTCTGCCACACGGCACGAAAAATGGCTCCGTCCCTGCGAAGGGGGTCCGTAACAGTGCCGTGATGGACGAGGCCTTGACGTTTAAGTACCCAAGAGAAAAGACACGGGAGGGGAGAAATCCTCTATGGCACCAAAAAAAAAAAAGAAAAAGAAAGAAAAAGAGCACGAGGAAACCACAATGGGGCCCTCAGGCTGTCTTCTTAGAGCAACCGTCTCAGAAGCGGCCCTCGAGAAGGCGGTGGCATCAGACGACAAACTCTGGCACTTCTTCGTGGGCGAGATCCAGGGAGAAGTATTTGCTGGTTCTCTTGACGGGGAAGGCGTCCTGGATGTTGACGCACTGCCGAGCCAGGCAGCCGTTGCAATAGAGGCCTTCCTCCGCCAGTCCGTGGCCGCAGCCAAACGTGTAGCTCTGGGCCGTCTCCTGGCAGAGGGTGGCCAGGCGCAGGAAGTCCTTTTGGTACAGCCGGATGTCGTCCAGGCTCAAGCTGTGCCGGTCGGTGGAGGTCTTTGGCTTTCGGCAGACCGTCTGCGGGGAAGAGAAGCCGGGATCAGCAAATAACTTCAGAGGTACAATTGAAGCTATCTGCCGGGTAGCGGTGTGTGGGAACAAGATCTTGGGGTATGGGGGGAGTGTTAGCTAAATATGAGCAGTCAGTGTGATGCAGCGGCAAAAAAGGCGAATGTGATTCTGGGGTGTATTAACAGAGATGTAACATTCAAATCGCAGGATCTGGTGGTACTGCTGTGCAGTACACTGCATTGTTCAGGCTGCACCTGGATTTTTGTGTGCACTTCTGGAAGCCTCACTTCAAAAGGGATGTGGAGAGAATGGAGCGGGTGCAGAGGAGAGTGACGAGGATGATCGGGGGCCTGGAGATCAAGAAGCCCCACGAGGAAAGGCTGAGGGACTTGGGGATGTTGAGTCTGAGGAAGAGGAGGTTGAGGGGGGACGTGATTGGTCTCCCGAAGTATCTGAAGGGCTCTCACTCAGAGAAGGGCAGGGAGCCGTTCCTGTTGGCGGCAGAGGAGAGGACTTGCAAGAATGGGTTTAAATTATGGGCAGGACGGTACAATCTGGATACTAGGAAAAAACTCTTAACAGTAAAGAGTGATTCAGCACTGGATTAGAAATTGCCATTTGGATCATGGTCCAAGATGCTTAAATTCATGCAACGCAACTAAGGGGGGGGTACGGTGGCATGACAGAGCCTGATCTCGTCAGATCTCGGAAGCTAATCAAGGTCGGCGCTTGGATGGGAGGCCGCCCGGGAAGGCTCTGCAGAGGAAGGCCATGGCAAACCACCTTTGCTTCTCACTTGCCCAGAAAGCCCCTTGCTGGGGTCGCCATAAGCTGGAAGCTAAGCAGGGTCGGCGCTTGCATGGGAGACCACCCAGGAAGGCTCTGCAGAGGAAGGCCATGGCCAACCACCTCTGCTTCTCACTGGCCTTGGAAGCCCCTTGCTGGGGTCTCCATAAGTTGGAAGCTAAGCAGGGTCGGCGCTTGCATGGGAGACCACCCAGGAAGGCTCTGCAGAGGAAGGCAATGGCCAACCACCTCTGCTTCTCACTGGCCTTGGAAGCCCCTTGCTGGGGTCACCATAAGTTGGAAGCTAAGCAGGGTCGGCGCTTGGATGAGAGGCCACCCAGGAAGGCTCTGCAGAGGAAGGCCGCGGCCGACCGCCTCTGCTCCTTGCAAGCTCCTTGCTGAGGTCGCAGTAAGTCGGTTGGGACGAGACGGGATTTACGGATGTAATACGATTAAATCTGCCCCCCCCCCCCGGCTCACAAACCTGTGGCAATGAATCGATGCTTTGGCCACGAAGCTTCACGACCGTCTCCGAGGAGCTCGAAGTCGACGAACTGACTTCTTTGACGACCAATCCTGAATCAGAGGACATGGAGGAAAACAGAGACGGGGGTCCATCGTTTAGACACGGACACTCCATTTATTACTGCTGGCAACAGCCCATGTGTTAATTTATGTGTTCGATTTCTAGACTGCACCTTCTCCTCAACAGAGGACTCGGGGGGGGGGGGGAGGCAGTTCACAACTCAGCATTCAAACTTAAATAGATGATAAAACCCGTAAATCCAAATGAATGCAACAAAAACAGATTCTAATAAGAATGCAACCGGTCATCATCTCTGGAACACATCTGGAGAGCAGAGCAGCTCACCAGTCTTCCCTCTAAGCTGAGTTAGTATGAGACAGCTCACAGTTTTTTAGGAGGAGGAGGAGGAGGAGATTGGATTTCTAACCCGCCCTTCACTACCCAAAGGTGTCTCAGAGCGGCTTACAAACTCCTTTCCCTTCCCCTCCCCCTCCCCACAACAGGCACCCTGTAAGGCAGGTGGGGCTGAGAGAGCTCTGACAGAAACCACTCTTTTGCTTAGAGGGAGCATTGCTCCAGAGCAAACGAATTTATGCAGGAGCCGAATCGCTCGCTCACAGCTTTAATGCCAGGAGCTCAGACAGGAGAATTTTTGCTCACAAGGCTCCACAGCTTAGAGGGAGCATTGCTCCAGAGCAAACGAATTTATGCAGGAGCCGAATCGCTCGCTCACAGCTTTAATGCCAGGAGCTCAGACAGGAGAATTTTTGCTCACAAGGCTCCACAGCTTAGAGGGAGCATTGCTCCAGAGCAAACGAATTTATGCAGGAGCCGAATCGCTCGCTCACAGCTTTAATGCCAGGAGCTCAGACAGGAGAATTTTTGCTCACAAGGCTCCACAGCTTAGAGGGAGCATTGCTCCAGAGCAAACGAATTTATGCAGGAGCCGAATCGCTCGCTCACAGCTTTAATGCCAGGAGCTCAGACAGGAGAATTTTTGCTCACAAGGCTCCACAGCTTAGAGGGAGCATTGCTCCAGAGCAAACGAATTTATGCAGGAGCCGAATCGCTCGCTCACAGCTTTAATGCCAGGAGCTCAGACAGGAGAATTTTTGCTCACAAGGCTCCACAGCTTAGAGGGAGCATTGCTCCAGAGCAAACGAATTTATGCAGGAGCCGAATCGCTCGCTCACAGCTTTAATGCCAGGAGCTCAGACAGGAGAATTTTTGCTCACAAGGCTCCACAGCTTAGAGGGAGCATTGCTCCAGAGCAAACGAATTTATGCAGGAGCCGAATCGCTCGCTCACAGCTTTAATGCCAGGAGCTCAGACAGGAGGATTTTTGCTCACAGGACTCCACAGCTTAGAGGGAGCATTGCAGCTCACCTGTTCCCTTGGTTAATTAAATTCTGCACAAGACGAGGCAGTCTCGCATGCCCTATGGAACCCTAATAGAACCCACAGGGCACGAACCTTCTTGGGGAACGGGTTCTAGAGGGCAGGGGATACCACCAAGAAGGCCACTGCCGTGGTGGAGGACAAACAGTCGATTCATGGACCAGGCACCAGTGGTAGGCTCTGTGATGACGGGGGGTTATACCGGGAGAAGCAGTCATACATCATACTGGACATGCCAGGTGTCCAATTTTGCACCTCCCCAGGAGCTGCGGTGGCTCAAGGGGTTAAGAGGCTGAACTGCAGGCTGTGGAAGGTCGGTAGTTCAGCAGTTCGAGACCCGAGTGTGCCGCATGACGGAGTGAGCTCCCGTCTCTAGTTCCAGCTCCTGCCAACCTGGGAGTTCGAAAGCAAGAAATTGCAAGTAGATAAATAGGGACCACTTCGGTGGGAAGGTAACAGCGTTCCGTGCGCCTCCTTGTTTAGTCATGCCGGCCACATGACCACGGAAACGTCTTCGGACACAGCTGGCTCTTCGGCTTGGAAATGGAGATGAGCACCGCGACCCTAGAGTCGGACTCGACTGGCTTTCGAGCAAGAGAGACCTTTTACCTTTACCTTTTAGGGCATGAAGTGGAGGGATCTGACAAAGAGAACTTCTTCTCCCTCTCCCAAAATATTAGAACTCAAGAGCATTCAGTGAAGCTGATGGGCAGTAGGTTCAGGAGGGACAACAGGAAATAGTGCTTTCCACAGAAGGAAGTTTGAATTCAGTGGCTACCCCCCTGAAACTACTTTACACAGAGAGTGATTTAAATGTGGGATTTGCTGCCAAGAGGATGTCGTGATGGCCACAGGGAGAAACAGCTTTAAAAGGGGATTCGACAGATTCGTGGACGATAAATCCAACAATGGCTCCTTCCCATGGTGGCTGAGGGGAACCTCCACATTCAGAGGCACTAATCCTCCGAATCCCAGAGTCAGGAGGCAACAACAGGAGAAGGCTTTGGCTCACTATGTGAGACAGGATGCTGGACCAGATGGACCACTAGTCTGATCCAGCAGGGTTCTTCTGATGTTCTTACCAGGGGAAGGCCACAGCCTCTGAGCCCTGTTGTTGGCCCTTCAGAGGAACTGGTTGGCCATTGTGTGAGACAGGATGCTGGACTAGATGGACTACTGGTCTGAGTGAGCAGGGCTGTTCTGCTGTTCTTGTGAAGGCCTTGGCCTCTATGCCCTGTTGTTGGCCCTCCAGAGGAACTGGTTGGCCACTGTGTGCGACAGGATGCTGGACTAGATGGACCACTGGTCTGGTTGAGCAGGGCTGTTCTGACGTTCTTATGAAGGCCTCGGCCTCTATGCCCTGTTGCTAGACCTCCAGAGGAACTGGTTGGCCTGCGTGAGACAGGATGCTGGACTAGATGGACCACTGGTCTGATCCAGCAGGGCTCTTTTGATGTTCTTACGAAGGCCTTGGACTCTATGCCCTGCTGTTGGCTTTCTAGAGGAACTGGTTGGCCCCTGTGTGAGACAGGATGCTGGACTAGATGGACCACTGGTCTGATCCAGCAGGACTCTTTTGATGTTCTTACGAAGGCCTCAGCCTCTCTGCCCTGTTGTTGGCCCTCCAGAGGAACTGGCTGGCCGCTGTGTGAGACAAAATGCTGGACTAGGTGGGACCACTGTTTTTATGGCGTTACCTGAGTGCCCGTTAAACTTTCTTGCCATCAGCATGTCCTCCGTGATATAAATGCAGACGTCGGGGCTGATGTCTTCCAGAGACGTTTCGCTCGTTGGGTCGAGGTCTCGCGGGTCATCAACCAACATTTCTATTTCTGGAAGAGAGACAGGAAGTGCCGTTACTGTCACCAAAAGGAACATTTCGGGGAGAAAAAGGCAAAATCCCATTTACAAGCATCCGGAACTGGCATGGAAAATAACAGTCGATTATCTTCGGGGAGATGTTTCGGCTGTGAACCACTAAAATTGGGAAGACGGCTTCAGAGGGAAGCAGCACTGGTCTACAGTAGAAGAGCCAGATTGGAGACCAAGAAGATCTTTGGGGTGTGAGATTTTGAGAGCCAGAGCTTCCTTTGTCAAATAGCTGGAGGGAGCTTTGGAATCCTCAGAGCTTTTACCTCCCAAATCTTAGAATCATAGAGTCGGAAGGGACCTCCAGGGTCATCTAGTCCAACCCCCTGCACAGTGCAGGAGATTCACAAATAGAAGAAGAAGAAGAAGAAGAGAAGAGATTGGATTTGTACCCCGCCCTTCACTACCCAAAGGTGTCTCAGAGGGGCTCATAAACTCCTTTCCCTTCCCCTCCCCACAACAGACACCCTGTGAGGTGGGCGGGGCTGAGAGAAGTCTGACACAAACTGCTCTTTTTCAAGGACAGCTGTGCCAGAGCTTGTGACTGACCCAAGGTCACATCAGCAGGTGCAAGTGGAGGAGTCGGGAATCAAACCCGGGTCTCCCAGATTACAGTCTGCACACTTAACCACTACACCAAAATACCTCCCCCTCCACACCCCCAGCGACTCCTGCTCCATGCCCAGAGCAGTGTTCCCCCTGAGCCAGCTCACAGTTTTTTAGCCTCCGGCCCACACATTTTTGTCTTGGCTCAGGAAGGGATGGCTCCGGAGCAGACTAACTTATGCAGTCGCCAAATCGGGCCCGCAGCTACAGTGGGGCACCTCGGGGCCCGCCCCCCCCGACTTCCTACCAGCCCCCCCACTTCCCATCCAGTCCAGCCCCCCAACTGCCAATTTTTTATTTGTGGCGCTGCCTTGGGGGGAGTTGTGGGGGTGTCCACGTGGGGTGCCCCCCCGACTTATTTAAAGGGCCCCCCCAATTTAAAAAATCCTGGCTACGGGCCTGAGCCCAATCACTCGCTCACAACTTTAATGCCGGCGCCTCACAAAGTCGAACTTTTGCGCACGAGGCTCCACAGTTTAGAAGAAGAAGAGAAGAGATTGGATTTATATCCCGCCCTTCACTTGGAGTCTCAGAGCGGCTCACAAACTCCTTTCCCTTCCCCTCCCCACAACAGACACCCTGGGAGGTGGGTGGGGCTGAGAGAGCTCTGACAGAAACTGCTCTTTTTCAAGGACAGCTGTGCCAGAGCTTGTGGCTTGCCCAAGGTCACACCAGCAGGTGCAAGTGGAGGAGTGGGGGATCAAACCCGGTTCTCCCAGATTAGAGTCCGCGCACTTAACCACGACACCAGACTGGCTCTCGTAGAGGGAACATTGGCCCAGAGGAAGGCAAAGAACCTCCAGAATCCCTGGGCCAATCTGGCCTGGATGAAAATCCTTTGCTGACCCCAAAGTGGCGATCGGCAGGACCCTGGGCTTTTAAGGAAGGGCCACGAGACTCCAGCACTGGCTCATCCCTCCCTCCCCTCCCTCTCACCATCTGCCTTGTTGGTCTCTTAAGATGCTACTGGACTCTTCTTAGAAAGATATATGGAGGATGAGGTGGTTAAGCCTTCTATGCTAGCATGGATGAGGGATATGGGATATACTATAGCATTTGATGAATGGGATAAAATATGGAAGACAATGAGATATTTGGAATCAATTGCTTATAAAGAAAACCTATATAAAATGTACTATAGATGGTATTGGACTCCGGATAGAATTGCAAAATGCTCTACAAAAATATCAAAGAATTGCTGGAAATGTAAGAACAACGTAGGAACGTTTATACCTAAGTGGTGGAAATGCGGTAATATGCAGAAATTCTGGAAAATGGTTAAGCGATGGATATTAGAGATAATGAATGTGGATCTAAATTTAGTACCGGAAATATACTTATTAAATATTATCCCAGATAACTTTAACCAAAATGATAAATATTTACTAACATACATCTTAACATCATCTAGAATCATGGTAGCAAGATATTGGAAGACGGAAAAGTTACCCTCTAAGATAGAAATAGCAAAGAAATTGCTGGATATAGCTGAGTTAGACAAATTAACAATGTTGTTACGTGGAAAAGAAGAAACTAAATTTCAAAACAAATGGTTAAGAGTGTATAAGTGGGGGGGTGTCAGCAAGCTGCCATGGTGTTCTGTGTTGATTGTATCTCTGTACAGTTGCTCACCCCCCCCTGCCTGTACGCCTGTATTTTACTCTGCTGTAATGCCTAAGCCAAACAACTGGAGGATGTATTGGGGGAGTACGCTTGACTGCCAGCTTGTTGCTTTTAGAGCCTGGGAACTGCACCTGTATTATGTCTGGGGAACTTACTATGTACAAGACCTCCAAAAAAATGAATATAGTATAGAAATGTTTGTGGTTGTATAATGTAAAACTACATAAATAAAGTATTTTTTTAAAAAAAGATGCTACTGGACTTGAAATCTAACTCAAAAGCAATTTCAGTGCATTGCAGACTATCCTAGGATTTCCTTGTCTCCCTCCATATACACACCCTCTTCCTTTTGGGGAACCAAAGAGAGCTGTACCTAGGAGGAGCAGGGGTTAACTAGACAGAACCTATCATCCAAATTACACTCCCCCCCCCCCGGGATGAGACAGCCGGTTTAGAGCCCAAGTGATGACGCTCCCCGAGAACGGTTGTATCAGCAACTAAAACCCGGGGCTTGAAAGGGGACAGTATTTCTCGACAGCCTCGTAGCGACAAGGTTCTCGAAACAGCGCAGGAGGAGAAAGTTACACGCCAGTTACTCAGGACAGTCTAAGAACACATCCCCAGAATCCTTTTTGCATCCCTTCGTTCTCGAACGCTAGACGGTATTAAGTGAAGCTCTCTTTGTGGGGTAAAAAAAAGGAAATCTCAGCGGAACAGCGCACCTCAGCAGGAAAAGGAACGTGACGGATTTTAATAATAGTTAAGCGGCTTTCGTTTTAGTCTCTCGGAACACTTTGACCCCGCCCTTCTCTGGCAATGGACTCGAGGTGCGAAAACAAACCCCCCCCCGCTTCTGCCTCCCCTGGGGGGGGGGGGCGCACGTTACCGTCGTCTTGGGAGTCCTCCTCCAGCCGCTCCTTCTCCCCGCTCTCCACGCCGGAGGTGTGGGAGCTGCCGTGGCTAGTCATGGAGCTGCAGGCTCTCAGCTTGCGGTGGATGGCGGCGGGCAGGAAGTCGTCCTCCGCCCCGCGGTCCCGGGGCTTGGGGTCGGCCTCGATCCCGGAGGTGTGGGAGCTGCCGTGGCTGGCGGTGGAGTGGCGGGAGAGGCGCTTGTGCCTCACGCTGCCGGAGCTGCTCCCGCTGGCCCGCGACCGCTTCTCCAGCTGGTCCATGTCGAGGTCCAGGGCGTCGCTGATGTAGGACTCCCGGTACTGCTTCTTCTCTGTAAGAAGACGAGTAGAAGAGTTGGTTTTATACCCCGCCTTTCACTACCCGAAGGAGTCTCAGAGCGGCTTACAAACGCCTGTCCCTTCCCCACCCCAAAACCCACACCCTGAGAGGTAGGCAGGGCTGAGAGAGCTCTGACAGAAACTGCTCTTTTTCAAGAAGAAGAGATTGGATTTATACCCGGCCCTTCACTCCCCAAAGGAGTCTCAGAGCGGCTTACAAACTCCTTCCCCTTCCCCTCCCCACAACAGACACCCTGTGAGGGAGGTGGGGCTGAGAGAGCTCTGACAGAAACTGCTCTTTTTTTCAAGAACAGCTGTGCCAGAACTATGGCTTGCCCAGGGTCATCCAGCAGGTGCAAGTGGAGGAGTGGGGAATCAAACCCGGTTTCCCCAGATTAGAGTCCACGCACTTACCCACTCCACCAAACTAGCTCTCTACCCACCCACCTTTCTCCTGAGCAACTGAAAAAGTGCAGAAAAGGGCAACTCGAATGATAAAAGGGTTGGAAAACTTTCCCTATGAAGAGAGGTTAAAGCGCTTGGGGCTCTTTAGCTTGGAGAAACGACGACTGAGGGGACACATGATCGAGGTTTATAAGATGATGCATGGGAAAGAGCAGGTCGAGAAAGAAGTCCTTTTCTCCCTTTCTCACAATGCAAGAACTCAAGTGGGCACTCAATGAAATTGCTCAGTGGTCGGGTTAGAACAGATAAAGGGAAGTCCTTCTTCACCCAGAGAGTGATTCTTGGAATTCACTGCCACAGGAGGTGGCGGTGGCTACAAGCATGGACGGCTTCAAGAGGGAATTGGAGAAACATATGGAGCAGAGGTCCATCAGTGGCTATGAGCCACAAGGTATAGATAGGGACTCTCAGTCTGGGGCAAGGGATGCTCTGTCTTCTTGGTGCTTGGGGGCGGGGGCAATAGTGGGAGGGCTTCTAGTGTCCTGGCCCCGCTGGTGGACATCCTGGTGGCCCCTGGTATTTGGGCCACTGTGTGACACAGAGTGTTGGACTGGATGGGCCACTGGCCTGACCCAACATTGGCTTCTCTGATGTTCTTATGAAAGTGTTTCGTATCTCTTTTCCCAGCCCCTCCCCTTTGTGGTTGCCATAAATGATTTTCTCTCCCTTTCTCTCTCGGCCACGTGCATGGCCTGTCAGACTAACCTAGGGCTTCTCTCGTGGGTCTGGGGGATCCCCTGCCCCCAAGCCCCCTTGCCCGCCAATGCTCAGGCCCCCTTGCCCACCAATGCATAAAGAATAAAAAAAATTGCAGCCTTGTGTGCTTACTGGAAGTGATGACAGGTAGCTCTAAGAATCTCAAGAAACTTTTATGATTTTACCATAGTTCCCAGCGATTCCTAGAGCTACCCGTTGTCACTTCCGGGGTCGCTCTAGGAATCGCCGGCAGCTCTATGATTCTACCATCGCGTTTCTGGAAATTCCTAGAGCTACCTTTTGCCACTTCCTGGAAGAACATATTTTTTAAAAATTGTCCTGCAACATTGCCCCCCATAATATTTTTGTGAACCAGTAGCTTATTTGTGAAGAGTGACTTGGAAGATGCTGGAAGCGAGCTCCCGGAAAAGAGGAGCCAGGAAGAAGCCGCTACCTTCGTTCTCCTCCAGCTTCCGGATCTGCCGCAGGACGGGCTGCAGGTTCATGTAGAGGCGGTGGCTGCTGCTCAGGAGCTGCAGGAGGTGCCGGGAGCGCATCGGGCAGCCCGTGTAATAGGTGAGCTTGCGGGCCGAGGGCAAGCCATCCGGGAGGATCTCGAACCTCTTCCCCTATGAGGGTGAGCAAGAAGCAATTAACTTGCGGAACTCACTGCCAGTAGACGCGGCGCTGCTTTTGGTGGCTTTAAAAGGGGACCGGATGGGTTTGGGGAAGACCAGTCCATGGACCGCTGTTAGCCATGACTGTTCTTTCTAAGCCGTGGAGTCTTGTGAGCAAAAATTCTACTTTGTGAACTACTGGCAATAAAGTTGTGAGCGAGCGATCTGGCTCCTGTGTAAATCAGTTCGCTCTGGAGCCACCCTTCCTGAGCTGAGACAAAAATGTGTGAGCTGGAGGCTAAAAAACTGTGAGCTAGCTCACACTAACTCAGCTTAGAGGGAACACTGGCCATGAGTGCTAAGTAGTGCCTCCATGTTCGGAGGCAGTCTACCTCGGAATACAAATGCGGGGGGCAAGCACCGGAGGAGGCTCTGCTCTCCGCCCTCCCCTTGCCGACATGACAGGGACTGAGCGCATGGAACAAGATCCGTGGCATCACATCTGCAGGAGCTACAACCATATACACATGAGAATGCCTCTTCCTGCCAGCTCCCGTGCGTCCCTTAAGGTCTGCTGGCTGGAGCTTGTTGCGACGGCCCTGTTCGCTGATGCGTTTTGGGAGCCTCCCAGCCAGAAAGCCTCCTTCCTTGGCGGGGTTCAGGGCTGCCGACTCCAGGTTGGGAAATGCCTAGAGATTTGAGAGTAGTACCCGAGGGGGGCGGGGTTTGAGGAGGGGAGGAACTAGAGATGTAAAATTTCCGGAAATTTTGAAGCTCGCAAAAAACCCCGGGGTTTTTCCGGGAAAAAACGGAAATTTTCAGAAAAATTGAAAAAAAATGCTACATTAACATTTCTTTTTTCTTTTCCAGATTGAAAGTCATTCTCTTACTTTAGGAACATAAAATATGAGTATGGACATTTTTACTTGGCATGAAATTATCACAACTAGCATATTGAAAATATAGTGTATAGAAACAATTAGTACAAACAGAATACCTTCCCACATGCAAAAACAAAACTGAAACTTTTTTATTTTCTTCTGACAATCGCACTTCCTAAAGGAAGAAATGCATCTTGTTCTTGCATTGGAGAGTTCAGTTTGTAACCTAGGACTTGCTTGTCCTCAGTGCACAGAAATTAGATCAATCTGATACCATATATATGTATTTTAGAAATTATTTGGAAAATATTTGAACACTTTGTCTTAAAATATTTTATTCATCATGTTAAAATAAAACGTTCCATAGTCAATTTTTTTTCTTTTTTCAATTTTTCGGAAAAAAACAAAAAGGCTTCAGGAAAAAAACGGGGGAAAACCGTTTCCCCCCCGAATGTTTCCATTTTTTCCCCGGGCCTTGACATCTCTAGGAGGAACCTCAGCGGGGTAAAAAAACACCGTCTGTTCTCCAAAGCAGCCATTTCCTCCAGGGGAAGTGACCTCTGGTTGTCATTCTGGGAGATTTCCGGGACCGACTTGGAGGCGTACAAAAATATATATCACTGTGTTCGATAAATATATGTTTATGGTGGAACAATCTTATGCTTTACTCTTTTTTTCTTTTTATATTTTTCAATACTGTCGTCTAAATATTGGTATCAAATATTATCAAAAATATGTTTCACCCGAACAATACAGGTTTACATTCAGACAGCACCTTGTCGGTATCGCTGTCACTGGTCCCACGGGACTCTAGGAATTTACCCGTTTCGAATGAATCCTTTTCAAGGACCATGATGTTTATGGTCCAGATAGGAAAAATCCAGATAGGAAAAATCGCGGATTCAAAGCGCAAATACCCGGAATGTACTTGATTCTCCTGGTGTCGGAAAACTCGCTAGGGAACCGAGAGGACGAGCCCACTTCGGTGCGGGAGACGGATGCGGGCATCTGACCAGCAATTTTAAATGCGAGAGGGAACAGCGGTGAAACCCGATCAAAATGACCGTGGGACCACAGCCTTAGGTAGTACATTTTTATCCCCCTCTTCCTCCAAGGAGCTCAAAGCAATGTACACCGCTTTCTTGTTCTGGGGTACGTTCAGAAAAACCAGGGCTATTTTTGGGCAGCAGGAACTCATTAGCATAATAGGCCACACCCAACATCAAAAACTCATTAGGATTGGCTACATTAGGGGTGTGTGGCCTAACATGCAAAGGAGTTCCTGCTACAAAAAAGGCCCTGGGTTTTGACAACAAACAGGGTAAACAGAATAGCAAGCAAAAGGTGGGTGTGGCTGGATGACCACACTTCTGGTAACATGGGGGTGCGGCCTAATGTGCTAATGAGCTGTTCTGTCAGGGGTGTGGCCTAATAGGCTAATGAGTTTCTGCTGTTGGGTGTGGCCTATTATGCTAATGGGTACCTGCTGGGCTTTTTCTACAAAAAGCCCTGAGAAAAACCCTTCGAGGAACATCAGGATGAGTGCGCACAACTGGCTGGAACTCACCCAGCAAGCCTTCCGTAGCAATGTGGGGGGTATCTGAACCCGGATCGCCCGGGTCCTAGTCCGACAGCGTAGCCACGACGCCATAGTGGCTTGGTAGGAACCCGTGGCTATATTAACATTCAGCAGTCCTTCCCATTGGCTAGGTGGCCAACTGGGAAGGCCCACGGTGTGGAATTTAGAGGCAAGACGCCCAGTTTCTCGGGAAGAGAGGCTGGATCGGGCCGGCTTCATACTCACCACAAAGACGAGCTTCCCGACATTCGTCCAGGGGAAGTCGAAAAGCAGCTGCTTTTCAGTGTTGACGTTCTGGGAGGGGGGGGGAAGAGAAGGAAATAAAAGCTGATTGGCTATAGGCTGATGGGAACATTAAAAGTGGTTTCTTTCTCTGAAAGCCCCACCAGATCTACCAAATGGAACACTCTCCCTGCGCAGAATCAGTCAAAGGATTCTGGGCCGCAGGCTGAATGACCACCCCCCACCTCCAGGGGGCACTGGTGTAGCCTGTATAGAGCAGAAATCAGTTGGGCACAGCGCTGATTGGCTAGTGCCCGTGTCATCGTAGGGTTGGATCCCACGCCAAATCTCCACTGACGGAAGGGATTATCCAGCGTCAGAGTGGAACCTCCCCTCCTCCTCCCACCGCAGCCTGAAACGTCTCCCAAACCGCACATGCGTGCGCAGCCAGTTCTGATCAAGGCCAGGGAAGGAAGGATTAAACTTCCGCATGCTGTTTCCCCCATCCCCAACACAAAATTACATATTCACCTAACGGGAAAACAACAGGGTTTTTTGGGGGGGAGGGGGCAGGCTAACCGAAATGAAGAAATAGCTACTTTCCCCCTAGGAAAAAAAATTCCCGTTTACAGATCTCCCGCCATCTACGCGGTCTGGCCCCAAGGTGGACCCTTCTGTAAACTTTTAAGACGTACCTGAAATATCTGTATGCCCCGTGTCGTGAGCCCCAGAGTCAGAGAGGCCTCGATTTCTTTTTTATCCTGTAAAAAAAGGGGGAATATCATAAACCTGCTGTCCTTGGGAATGCCATTTCAACAGCCGTCAACACTGGATGGCTGAGGTCTGGCGCATTTGCACACGAAAACCACCGATCGAGGTATTTGTGTCTTCCTTGCAGGGGATCGAGGCTGCCTGGATAGGAAAGGAACCTTGCCGGCTGCAGCCCTACAGCCACGCTGGGTTCGAGCCCGTGGGACAGAGATCGGGCGACCAGCGGTCACAACGCAACGCTCCCTCTAAGCTGTGGAGTCCTGTGAGCAAAAATTCTGCTTGGTGAGCTCCTGGCATTAAAGCTGTGAGCGAGCGATTTGGCGGCTGCGTCAGTTAGTTTGCTCTCGAGCCCTCCTTCCTGAGCGAAGGCAAACATGTGTGAGCCGGAGGCTAAAAAACTGCGAGCCGGCTCACACTGACTCAGCTTAGAGGGAACACCGGTCACAAGCGTAACGCTACCGGAGGGGGAATGACGTGGAACACAGGGAAAGTCCTCCCCAGGGATCAAAGGTTATTTGATACAGGAATGGTTGGGCTGGAGGGATACTTCAGCCAGCTTTTCAATCTTGCGGGCACCTTCAGAATGCTGACACAGCGTGGCGGACGTAACCACAGAATGGCTGCCGCGGGAAGCAGAGCTGGCAAGAAGAAGAAGAAGAAGAGATTGGATTTATAACCTGCTCTTCACTTGGAGTCTCAGAGCGGCTTACAAACTCCTTTCCCTTCCCCTCCCCACAACAGACACCCTGTGAGGTAAAAGAAGAAGAAGAAGAGATTGGGTTTATACCCCGCCCTTCACTACCCAAAGGAGTCTCAGAGCGGCTTACAAATTCCTTTCCCTCCCCCTCCCCACAACAGACACCCTGTGAGGTGGGTGGGGCTGAGTGACACAAACTGCTCTTTTTCAAGGGCAGCTCTGAGAGAACTATGGCTTGCCCAAGGTCATCCAGCCAGGTGCAAGTGGAGGAGTGGGGAATCAAACCCGGTTCTCCCAGATTAAAGTCCACGCACTTAACCACGACACCAAACTGGCTTCCCTCCAGCCACGCCAGAAAGACGGCTGTGCGGTGGGGGCGGCCGCCGCTAAAACGACGCTGTAAAAAAAAAATCCGCACGGCCAGTCTCCGATGGCCAATCAGCGGACGTGCTGGGCAAAAGCCCCATTTGGGCCCGCCCACATTCTAAAACACCTCGCGGGTGTTGGCAGCCACCGTGGTGCCCATGGGCACCGGGTTGGGGACCCCTGCTTTAAACAGTTACCGCTCGGGCACGCTGGTCCACGTGGCCTGAATCAGTCACCTGTGTGCCCAACATTTAACTCGGGGGGGGGGGAACGGCTGGGAGCTCCCAAATTGGGACACCCAGCACTTGCTCGGGGGGGGGGGAACTGCTGGGAGCTCCCAAATTGGGACACCCAGCACTCATCCGGTTAGACCAGGGGTGGCCAAACTGTGGCCCTGGAGTCACATGTGGTTCTTTCAAACATATTGTGCGGCTCCCGGCAGGGCGGCCGGGGAAGCGAAGGGGAAGCATGCCTCCCCGATCGGTCTTTCCTTCCCCAGTGCTCTTTCCACCTTTCTCTCTCTCTCTCTCTCTCTCTCTCTCTCTCTCTCTCTCTCAGACAAATAAATAAAATTAGCAAACGAATAAATATCATTGGACAAATTGACAAAATGACAAGAAAGCTTAAAAATTTGGAAGCGGAAGAATTTTTTGCAGACTGGAAAGATGGTAAAGAATATTTAGAAAAGTACTGGGATGTAAAAAAACAACTTGCTTTGCTTTGATAACTATTGAAAAAATGTATCTGTAAAAAATTTAAATGTTTAAGAACAATAGTTAAAAGATATGTTACTTGTAGAATTTGATGAACAAGTCAGAATGTTTTCAGAAGAAATTTAAATGTATAAGAACAATAGTTAAAAGATATGTTACCTGTAGAATTGGATGAACAAGTAAGGGGGAAATGAGGGGAGCATAAGATATGGGCTGGAGGTTGGAACATTGTGGGAAGCCGGAAAGGGGTGGGAAATTAGGAGAATTAGGAGAAAAGGATATATGAAAGTTAGTAAAGTGATATATGATTGACTTATTAATATATCCTAATAATTGTTTTTTAAATATCATTGGACAAATAAAGTATCATTATCAATATCTGTTTTTACCCCTATTGTTTTTATTTTCGGCAGCCTCATTAAATGTTAGTAAAAACATGTGTGTGATATTTGCCTTGTGGCTCTCAGACATCTGATGTATATTCTATGTTGGCTCTTACGTTAAGCAAGTTTGGCCGCCTCTGAGTTAGACCCCGAGCAGTGTTCCCTCTAAGCCGAGTGTGAGCCACCCCACGGATTTTTAGCATCCGGTTCCCACATTTTTGTCTCCGCTCGGGACGGATGGCTCCGTAGCAAACTGGTTTGTGCCGTAGCCAAATCCCGCACTCACTAGTGCCAGTTGCTCACACAGTAGAATTTTTGCTCACGAGACTCCGCAGCTTAGAGGGAGCGTTGACCCTGAGGCCCTTCCGCCTCCTCTGGGTCCCTAAGCCTGGCAGACTAGGGTTGCGCCCTTACAAAAGCTCTCCGGGGAGGAAGCCCGACCGAATAAAAAGGTTCTTGCTTCCGAGTAGGCCTATGCCACCCTCTCCAATCGCACAGCCGCCCAGACCAGCCCCGGACGTCCTCGGGGGCTGAGCCGCACTGCGCCAGCCCCCCGAAGCAGCCCTCCCTCTGCCTCCGTTCAGAAGAGCACTTCCGAGAAGCCGCCCCATAAAGACGGCACTTAAGGCTCCAACAGGATCAGCCCCGGGGTGACGAACGGCTCCCCAAATGGGAGCTGACACCCGGAGCATCTCCCGCCCCGCATTGGAGCTCGCAACTCGTTTTTATGTTTGTTTCTGGGGGAAGAGAGACGCGGTTTTTCTGACAAGCTGCTCCAGCTGCAGATGAGGATAACGACCGAGCCGCTGCTGAAATGCACGCCTCCGGGAAAACGCTCAGCGGCTGCCGCCTCGAAGGGGCCCCTGCCTCGCCCCAACCCCGTACCTTGTACAGCCGGTAGTAATGCACGGCCACGTCGTCCAGCCGCACGGCCTCCTTGATGTACTTCAGGTGGGCTTCGGAGGCGCTCAGCGCGCACTGGTCCTTGTGCATGATGGGGATGTGCTTCAGGATGTACTCCTTCCCTCTCTTCGCGACCACCTGTCTCGGAGAGCGAAGACACGCGGCGTGTTAGTGTGCGGGGCCGACGGGCCCATTGCTCAGATCGTCAACTGAGCCCTTATTTACGAGTAGGGAAAACGGCGGCCATCTTTGGGCTCGTGTACGACAGGGGGCTTTGTCCAGCCCAACTAAAGGACGCCAGCAGTCAGAAGCCGTCTCCCCTCGCTTCACCCTGAACTCTCTGACCAAGACCTTGGGATTGTCATCTGCAGACTGGCAAAGTTTCAGCTAGACTACTGCAACGGGTTTTGCTCGGGGCCTGCCCCTGGGGGCCATCTGAAAGTTTCACCTGGTGCCGAATGTTGTGATCTGCCTTTTGGCAAGGAGGAGGAGAAGAAGATTGGATTTTATACCTTGCCCTTCACTCAGAGTCTCAGAGCGGCTTACAATCTCCTTTCTCTCCCCCTCCCCACAACAGACGCCCTTGTGAGGTAGGTGGGGCTGAGGAAGCGCTTTTGAGAACTGCTTGTGACAGAACAACTTCGAAAGAACTTGTGACTGACCCAAGGTCTTGCCAGCAGCTGCATGTGGAGGAGTGGGGAACCAAACCTGGTTCTCCCAGATTAGAGTCCACTCAGTGGCAGACAAGAAGAAGAAGAAGACTGGATTTATATCCTGCCCTTCACTCGGAGTCTCAGAGTGGCTTACAATCTCCTTTCCCTTCCCCTCCCTGTGAGGTAGGTGGGGCTGAGGGAGCTCTTTCAAGGACAGCTCTGAAAGAACTTGTGACTGACCCAAGGTCACACCAGCAGCTGCATGTGGAGGAGTGGGGAATCAAACCTGGTTCTCCCAGATTAGAGTCTGCGCTCTTAACCACTACACCAAACTGACCATACAGAAACCACACGGCATTTGTGTGGCAGAATATTATCCGCTTCTCGGCCCAATTCAAAGAGCTGGGCCGACACAGACCCTAGGATCCAGAACCTGAAAAGGTGAGTCAAACAGAACAGAGGGCCAACAACAAAAACTTAATTATATAGTATGAAAAGATACATGTATTTATTAACAAAGACTTAGAAAGCATACAAGGGTCCAATCACACCTCATGTAAAAATGCCAAAATCTAGCACACCAGGGCCAATGGACTTGACCTGACGCGTTTCGGCCTGTGTAGGCCTTCTTCAGAGGTCAATCACAATGAAGAAGAAGAAGAAGAAGAGATTGGATTTATACCCCGCCCTTCACTACCCAAAGGTGTCTCAGAGCGGCTTACAAACTCCTTTTCCCTTCCCCTCCCCACAACAGACACCCTGTGAGGTAGAAGAAGAAGAGGAGATTGGATTTATACCCCGCCCTTCACTACCCAAAGGTGTCTCAGAGCGGCTTACAAACTCCTTTCCCTTCCCCTCCCCACAACAGGCACCCTTTGAGGTAGAAGAAGAAGAAGAAGAGATTGGATTTATACCCCACCCTTCACTTGAAGTCTCAGAGAGACTTACAAACTCCTTCCCCTTCCCCTCCCCACAACAGACACCCTGTGAGGTGGGTGGGGCTGAGAGAACTCTGACACAAACTGCTCTTTTTCAAGGACAGCTGTGCCAGAGCTTGTGACTGACCCAAGGTCACATCAGCAGGTGCAAGTGGAGGAGTGGGGAATCAAACCGGGTTCTCCCAGATTAGAGTCCGCACACTTAACCACTACACCAAACTGGCTCTCGCATACTGGCTTATATCATTGGAGCATATTGGCTTATATCATTGTACGTTACAATCCAGAAGTTATGTAACATAGATACATGATGGACCAGAAGAGAACGGTTCCAAAGTGAAACCACTGGGCACAGAAAAAACCCATAAATGAGGTCTCCAAAGGTGCAATCACACGCCCAGTGGTATTTCAATGCTAATAATTTCTGGTCCAGAAAGTGCCTTCCTCTGATTGTTGAGCCAAAGTGTTGTCAGTAAAATTGTCCTTAAGCAAAGACCCTTCGCAGCAGGGGCGCCGAAAAACGGGGTGGTGGTGGTCCCTGAATCCAGCCACTAAGGGCTTGGATAGATCTGCCTTTACTGAAGAAGAAGAGATTGGATTTCTACCCCGCCCTTCACTACCCAAAGGAGTCTCAGAGCGGCTTACAAACTCCTTTCCCTTCCCCTCCCCACAACAGATACCCTGTGAGGTAGGTGGAGCTGAGAGAGCTCTTGACAGGAACTGCTCTTTTTCAAGGACAGCTCATATCAGAAGTCTGGCTTGCTCAAGGTCATCCAGCCAGGTGCAAGTGGAGGAGTGGGGAATCAAACCCGGTTCTCCCAGATTAGAGTCCGCGCACTTAACCACCACACCAAACTGGCTCTGAAACCAGAACTCTAGAGCGGAAACAGAGCAAAGCTTTCCCGATGCTGAGAAGCGTGCCCGGCTCCATCCTTAAACACTTTTTTTGCTGGCTAATCAAAGACTTTTTATTCAGGAAAGACCCCCCTCCTCCTTTTAGAAAGAGGACCGGCGGGGGAAGCGGAGCCGGATTTTATACATCTATCTTATCGCTTCCGGCTTTCAACCCATTGTGAAATGCTAGTTAATGTCTTTTTCAAGCAAATATGCTATTTCAACTCGGTTTTATTGGACATCTCTTCGGGTGTTTCTTCCTTCTTAAGAGAAGCAATGCGTTACGCTTTATGAGGAAATCAATATTTGCAATTCTCGGCCTCTCTCACAAACTGCACTGGGCGAGTCGGCGGAACGTGCCCTGGTCTCCCAAGCGCATTGCCTGCACACAGGACTCGCTCTGGAGCCCTCCTTCCTGAGCTAAGACAAAAATCTGTGGGCCGGAGGCTAAAAAACTGCGAGCTAGCTCACACTAACTCAGCTTAGAGGGAACATTGCCTGTGAGGTAGGTGGGGCTGAGAGAGCTCTGACAGAAACTGCTCTTTTTCAAGAACAGCTCTGACAGAACTATGGCTTGCCCAAGGTCATCCAGCTGCTGCAAGTGGAGGAGTGGAGACTGAAAACCCGGTTGTCCCAGATTAAAGTCCGCACACTTCAGCACTACACCAAACTGGCTCTCTAATGGAGGCTATCATGCTTTGGAGATAGATCAGGATGGGCAGCCGTGTGAGTCTGTCTGTAGCAGTAGAAAAGAGCGAGAGTCCAGGAGCACCTGGAAGACTAACCAAATTTGTGGCAGGGCGGGAGCTTTCGTGAGTCATGGCTCACTTCTCCAGATACAGCACTTTGGTAATTTTCTGAGAGAACAAGAATTACCGGAAAAGACAATAACGCTAGGAAAAGTTGAAGGCAGCAGGAGAAGAGGAAGACCAAACTCATAAGAACATCAGAGAAGCCATGTTGGATCAGGCCCAATGGCCCATCCCGTCCAAAACTCTGTGTCACACAGGGGCCAAAACCCAGGGGCCATCAGGAGGTCCACCAGCGGGGCCAGAACTCCAGAAGCCCTCCCACTGTTGTAACCCCCAGCACCAAGAATACAGAGCATCACTGCCCCAGACATAAGAACGTAAGAGAAGCCATGTTGGATCAGGCCAATGGCCCATCCAGGCCAACGCTTTGTGTCACACAGGGGCCAAAACCCAGGTTCCATCAGGAGGTCCACCAGCGGGGCCAGAACTCCAGAAGCCCTCCCATTGTTGCACCTCCAAGCACCAAGAAGACGCAACATAACCGCCCCAGATATAAGAACATAAGAGAAGCCATGTTGGATCAGGCCCAATGGCCCATCCAGTCCAACACCCTGTCTCACACAGTGGCCAAAACCCAGGTGCCATCAGGAGGTCCACCAGCGGGGCCAGAACTCCAGCAGCCCTCCCATTGTTGCACCTCCAAGCACCAAGAAGACGCAACATAACCGCCCCAGATATAAGAACATAAGAGAAGCCATGTTGGATCAGGCCAATGGTCCATCCAGTCCAACACTCTGTGTCACACAGTGGCCAAAACCCAGGAGCTATCAGGAGGTCCACCAGTGGGGCCAGGACACTAGAAGCCCTCTCACTGTGCCCCCCCAAGCACCAAATAGACAGCACATCATCGCCCCAGACATAAGAATATAAGAGAAGCCATGTTGGATCAGTCCAAAGGCCCATCCAGTCCAAAACTGTGTCACACAGTGGCCATTAGGAGGTCCACCAGTGGGGCCAGAACTCTAGAGGCCCTCCCACTGTTGCCCCACAAGCACCAAGAAGACAGAGCATCACTGCCCCGGACATAAGAACGTAAGAGAAGCCATGTTGGATCAGGCCCAATGGCCCATCCAGTCCAACACCCTGTCTCACACAGTGGCCAAAACCCAGGTGCCATCAGGAGGTCCACCAGCGGGGCCAGAACCCCACTGTGTCCCCCCCAAGCACCAAGAAGACACAGCATCACAACCCCAGACAGAGTGCTCCCTCTATACCTTCTGGCTAATAGCCACTGATGGACCTCTGCTCCATACAGTTTCTCCAATCCCCTCTTGAAGCTGTCTATGCTTGTAGCCGCCACCACTTCCAGCAGCAGTAAATTCCATGTGTTGCAAGATCTGAGCAAGGCTGCTAATGCAGGATGTTTTGGAGGAAATTAATTCATAGGGTCAGGTAAGTCAGAAACAACTTGAAGGCACTTAACACAAAGAGAGGTGTTTGAAGGAGAAGAAGGGATTTGATTTATACCCTGTCCTTCACTTGGAGTCTCAGAGCGGCTTACAATCTCCTTCCCCTTCCCCTCCCCACAACAGACACCCTGTGAGGAAGAGGAGGAAGAGGAAGAAAAGGAAGAGGAGGAGGAGATTGGATTTATACCCCGCCCTTCACTCGGCAGTCTCAGAGCGATTTACAATCTCCTTTCCCTTCCCCTCCCCACAACAGACACCCTGTGAGGTCGGTGAAGAAGAAGAAGAGATTGGATTTATACCCCTCCCTTCACTACCCAAAGGTGTCTCAGAGAGCTTACAAACTCCTTTCCCTTCCCCTCCCCACAAAAGACACCCTGGGAGGTGGGTGGGGCTGAGAGAGCTCTGAAAGAAAGTGCTCTTTTTTCAAGAACA